CTTCCTTCACTTGGTGAGCCGGATATTAATGCAACAGAGAAAGAAGTACTTCAACCAGACGAAAACAAAGAAGAAAGGTAATTAAGTATGTTAATTGATTCACTTGTTTCCTTTGACGTTTTGAAAAGCATGTGTTTAATAACGCTAAGTTACCAAGTTAGGTTGTGATTTTTCATCATTGCAAATGACGATTCTAAAACTAATGCTCGTTTCACGACATGAATTAATAAATCATTGCTTGTTTCACAAGCTTAGCACTTTGACCCCTAAAAATGACTAGAATCTAGTTTCTCCTTGAATCAAACATTAAGAATTAAGATAATGAGAATAAAGAAAATGATCACTAAGTTAAAAGCTCCTAATTGTTAAAACAATTCCCCTCGTCAGTACCTTGGGAAATAGTAGAGAACAGTGTGGAGAATATACATACTGATATTAGGGAGTAATGGGTTTACTAGATTACCTCATAACCTAAAGAAGACCACTAGTTTGCGGTCAAAAGATCGCGAGACAAACGATACTTCATTAAAATGCATTTGATGTTCATAACTTGTCTCTTTTAGCGGGGTCTACTTCATCATGGTGATGCGAGTGGAAGTAAACATGACTGACCCGTCCAAAGATTTTCCCGTACTTAAAGAACGAATACGGAATGCTTGTTGGCAGTACCTTAGATTGGTAGTGCATTTCCAACTTTTATCCACAGTTTGGCTAAACAAAACAGGCTTCGTTTTCAAGGTGGGAACATCATCTATACCATTCTTCAATTGATGTAATCCTTATATAACGTTAACCTATGACATTTCATCTTTGTTAAGAGCATTCTGAAGGGTACCTATTTAGGCAAGGCACAGTCTCAAGGTTCTTGAGAAGCAACTTATTGCTCCTCTCTGGACTATACACTGACAAGAAAATATTTGTTCTTACCGCCTAGGAGCTCTCCGAAACCCAAGTGACGAACTATCTGGATCTTCTCAAGACGAAACATAATTTTGAATCAAAGATACTTTTGCGAAAAAGCGATGACATCCCAGAGAGTCACCAGAATGCGCTGTCAATCATTTCTTACGTTGGATGTACTTTATCTATTTTGGGGCTGTTTTTCACGATTTTAACCATCACCCTCTCAAGGTAAAAAGGATCAAGAGACTATGAATCAAAGAGATTCCTATTACAGACCTGCTTCCTTTTTATTTGATTTTAACCTCAAGAAAGGGTAATATCCCCATAATGTCCTAAACGAGCATTGTTATAAAATAGCGATTAATGAGTTGGAATGAGGCTTAAGGCTACTGTAAAAAAAAGCGTGAAGCCTGCACGGTGTTCAAGCACATTTCTGAGAGTATTAGTTGTTTGTAAGAAAAGGGGTCTTAAGTAATCTGATTGTATTAAACAAACTCAGGCAGTTGAGTACAAGGACGTCCATCCCCGAGAAAAGCTGTAACCAGACACGTGTCAAATCACGATAGTTTTTTTTATGTGTGTTTCGTATCGCCAATCAGTTGCTGACAAGTCACTAACCCTTTGCGCCATTCTGTCGGGTTGACGTTTGAATGGCAAAGCATTCGCCATTCTCAATCCAAAGTCGTTCATTAATAAAGTTTCCTTTTCTTGTCAGTAAAGGTCCATGGTGCTTATATGATAAAAAAAAAAATAATGCATGTTTTCCTTTAGAATGTTCACTATATAGTTCCCTCAACCCTTATTTCTCATGACTTTCGATCTTCTTCGACAGGAAGCTTCGTCGCCTTCGCCAAAACCAAATACTAGCGTATTTGTGTGTGTCCCTCCTGGCCGCCATATTGCTGTTTACATTTGGTATCAACGGCATGACAGGCTCAGACTCACTGGACGTTTGTAAAGCCATGGCAGCCCTTCTTCATTATTTCCTACTCTCCTCTATTGTCTGGATGAGTATCGAGGCATACAACATGTATCAAGACCTGGTCAAAGTGTTTGACACCACATTTATTTCACAAAATGAGTTCATGTGCAGGGCGGGAGTGGTGGGATGGAGTACGTAAACTTTGCTTTGTCATATTTAATGAGCCAAAATCTCGCAAATCCTTAGTATATGAGCCCTTGAGGTAAAGAGAAACAAAGAAAAAGAAGAGGGAGACAAAGAGGTCGAAACGATATCAATTAGGAACATGAGGAATATAGATGAGATGAACCTGGTTTTTCTCTATTAGATTTCGAAGAGCGATGACAGAATTTTTTAGATGAAAAGAAGGTTTCTGAAAGTCTGTATCAGATGTAATCTGCATTGCCATTTTTATTTTAGGTGATTTTTTTTATTACCTTTGCCGTCTTCACATTTGTAAATAATTTAAAGTTGTTGTTGTCCAAACTAATAATTTTTTTTTGTGATATAAACGCTTTAATGGCGCTTATTTATTTGTACCAAAGATTTTCAATCAATTCTTGCATTTCAAAGGTCTTTTCTTTATTGTTTTGTCTCTTTGCAGTTATTCCTGCCATGATTGTGGTGATAACTGTATTGGCTGAACCTCAGTCCTACGGCTTCCACGTCATGGACAAGAATAACGAAACGCTGTAAGTAAAACATTTATATCAGCAGACGATTTATAACCACGATATGATGTGTGATCACTCCTGCTTAGCTAATGTGAAACGAAACAAAAATATTACAACCATTTCCTTCGGATTATTTCTACACATTACCGTCCATGTAGTTTTGTAAGAAAGGAAATACTTTGCCAATTATTTCACCATTCCTATCAAAATAAAGCAATGGTTTGGAATTGAAAAAAATACATATCCCAACAGAATTAAAAGCTATAGTTCACGATAACATCACGATCGAAAGCAAGGCAAATTAAGACCTGCGATATATAATTTCGAGGAAAAAACCTTTACAAACTCGTCTCTAAATCATATTAGTTCATATTAGTTCATATTAGTTCATATTAATTGAAAGCAACCATATGGAATCAACGAGTTTGCTTGTCTCCATTTCAGTTGCTGGATGGACGCAGACGCATTCTACGGCGCATTCCTTGCCCCAGTCCTCCTCTTGATGGCTGTCAACGCTTTCATTTTCCTCGCAGTTATGAAGGAAATCTACAACATCCCTCACATGTGTGAGAAGAACAACCGTCTGTCGCACTTCCGTGCTACGGTGTCCGTGTTTTTCCTCCTCGGTCTCAACTGGTTATTCGCCGGTTTAGCTGCCACTGTTGGAACATTGGTGTTCCATTACTTGTTCACGATCACATGTTCGTTTCAAGGTTTCGTCATTTTCCTCCTACATGGAATCCTTAAAAAGGATTTTCAGGAGGCTTGGCACGTGCTCACAGCGAAAAACCGCGTCATGGAGATGATTCGCAGCAGCAGCTTTGCCACACCGATGTCCAAGACCGTGAGCGTGTCGTCCCAGTCCACTACATTTGGGGTAAAAGAACGTGCTAATCCCATCACGCTGAATGGCTCAACAGTCGGGGAGTCTGGGATTCAAATTCAAGTTAATACCAGTGTAATTATCTCGTCTTAGAAAAATTCTCAGTTGAGTGCCGGAAATTCATGATTCCAATGGGAAAAGAAACAAAAGGAACCAATCAGAAATCAGAGTATACGAACTTTACCATCCTTAAGCGCGGGAAAAAACAGGGCCAAATCGCGATCGAATTTACTTTTACTTCTGATTGGTTGAGGGAGCGGCCGGAGATTTCTGGATCAATCACAGGGTTGAGCAAAGCAAACTGATACAACATCTGGTTACTTTCGACACTCAATTGAAAATTAATTTATTAGTTGTTTATCTATGCCGTACTCAATAAGTAAGTAAAACATTTTACACAGAATTTTAGGTAGCATGCTGATATGCAGTGAATAAATTGGTAGTGATTCCCAACTAAAGATTACCTACCACTGAAAGTGCGACCATTTTCCGACTTTTTTGTTTCCTGCAAAGCACAGGTGTGGTAAGTTAAGCGTGTAACTGTGGGGAAAGTCTTTCTAGGTTTTTTCAAGTTTTATAGATCTTGCCCGTGATCATCTAAACTAACTGAATCAAAGAAGTTACAAATACTCCAGGTTTGTGTCTGGGAACACTTGCGCGGATTTGAAAATTATTTTAGATTACGTATAGTGATGTCCTAATTGCTCAGGGTTAGGGCTAAATACAGTGCACCACAATCATTAGGTAATTCAAGGAATAGTCATGCGCATTTGGATTCAAGTCATGAAATATATGCAAACAAAATAAGCTTGACAAAGGGCTGGTTCTTATGTTTCAAAAGTCCGCAAAACTTATCAAAAATACTTTTGTTCTCTGAAACAAAGGCGTGAGTTACAGGTGCTCCTCGTAAAACGCTAGATTTAATATACTTAGATACATTCTAACGATATCTTCATAGCCACAAGCACTATTCAAAGAATGACATCGGGCAAACTCAAATGATTTAAGCGTCGAACTTAACATGAAATGAATTCTCTCAGTTTATTTCGTCTCTTGTGAAGCTTGACGTTTCAATTGTACCTATATATAGACCACTTTAAAACCATTTTAGCATTTTTCTGAAGATTGGGGGTTTTAAATTTTTACGGTACAATAAATACCCAAAGATGGAGTGGAACAATAGATTAAAAAAGTTGAAGATACGAATATTAATTATGTTCGCGAGTGTAAACAAGGCTGCACAATTATCGAGGAAATATTTATTTTGTAGTTTAAGATTCACTTACTTAATCATTTTAATTAGAAAAAACATGAAAGGCATTTTATTTCGTTTTCCATTCATGTCGTGTGCACTAGTAAAAATAAAAGTTTTTAACCAACTAATATAATATTCGTGTTTTTGTTCTTTAGAACTTCCGTTGATTTTAATAACAGTATGAGATCAAATGTTTATCGATGCTTTTGACAGCCGCTTTTTCAGAAGATTAAATACCATTGGCTTTCTTGCACAGCTTACGACAATACGTTAAACTGACCATGACTAGATAATTATGAAGGCGCTTCAAACACTTTCGCTTGAATTGGCTTTAATTTACTGCTGGGCTGAAAGAGTTTTAAAGGTCTTAACCCTAAATGCAAGCAGACGGGAATCGAAAATCTCTTTCGAGGTATGTTTATACGGCGCGCACTAGAAAGTTTCGTTCATGAAAACACTTACATGTATATTCCGTCCCAAGTATAAAAGTGCTGAATCAGAGCCATCCAGCGTAGAAACACTATGTGAATTATTCGCAAAACATGGATCTATGATCGCAGACCTCTTGATATCAAAGTAATTACGTAAAGTAATTATGGAGCGTTTTAATCCTCCAGGAAGAGGGGTAAGTAAACAGAAATAGCCTGACTTAAAATCACTTTAAGTATTTTGTCGGTGTGAAGTTTTCTACAAATACTGCGCCATCTTTTGGAAAGTTCAAGGCAAGGAATTATTTTGCAACAAAGGTATTAAATTACCTCTCAAATCAACGTTTACTAATATATTTTCTTTAGTAATTACAAACCATAGACCTGAATGCATGATTTGTACCTACAGTAACACTTTTGTAAGAGTGAATCAATCGTATATATTTCCAGACATTCGACACAGATATTCTATTCGTCTCAACAATACGGTCGCTGCTTTTAGAATTAATTATTGCCTTGAGCACTTAATAAATGCACAATTAAAAGCAGGCGCAATTTCTCGTCAAGAGAGCTTTGGCATGGAGTGTTTTATCAGAATAAACATATTTGATTGAGTACCTTTTTCGAACTTTTAAGCATAGTAATGGTATCTGAGAATGTACCAAATCGAATTTAAGAAACAGTGCATATGTTAGATTTGCAAGGCAAGAACGAAATGAATTTTACTAGAGAGAGAGTTGTGACACAGAAAGCGAAAAAGTAATTTACAGTTTCGAGCTAAAAGGCCACTCATAACGTGACACTAGATGAGTAAGATAAAGATCAGTTAAAGAAAATGCGAAACTGCCGTGAAGCATGCATGCAGCCTTCGATCAGATCAGTATTTTCAGTTGTCACGTTCCTTCGCGTTTTCCAATCTCTCTGTGACAATTAGTCATTACTAAGGGTTTACACAGGAAGCCAGGAATCTGCATATTATTCAATCGCAATCGAATAACAATCAAATCGTATAGAATTCATTGTCAATATGCCTAATTGTTGTTAAAGTCAGAAATAAAACTGAAACCTCAATGCAGTGGCTCGGTTTGATAATAAACAAGAAAACAGATTTCCTAAATGTATCTTACATGTTGAGGTTTCGAAACACTTTGATTTGATGACGCCAATTCACACTTACAAGCAGTAGTAAATACTTAACGAGGCAACGTTTTGAAGCATTTTGAAAAAATCAAGCCTAGGGTACTCAACCTGCGTCACTTAACACGTTGAATCGTCCCAAAATTGTGATGGCTCTAAAATTCTACGGTACAAAAGGCCACGATACTGATTAAAAATTTTGCAACCTAATTTATTTGAGAGTTACAGGCACTTGAGGGTAAACTCAAGAATGTTTGTTGCTCAGGTAACATGTTGCGCAGCGTAGCGTAATAATGGCATCAAATTTCTTATCTCTTATCATCTCTTAAAGCTGCTACAAAAAATTAGAAAAACGGTGATGAGCCCCTGTAACTTAAGAAATAAAACATCCTTGTGCCTTTTTTAACACGCAGAGGTCTTTTCCATCTTTTCTATCGATTACGTTTAGTTGCTGAAGAACACCAAATTTGTTGGGCTTCGTCGATTTTAAGCGACAATATGGAAGATGAGGACGGTATATATGGTATGGTGCAGTTCAACTTTACAATCTTTGTTTGTATTGTGTTTTGTCGATTTTCATATACACTAGCAACTATACCCCATGGCACTCTTTCCTTCCATAGCCTCTCTGTTCAAAACCTGGTACTTTAAATTTATGAGTAAGGAGACTTTCCATTGAAGAGATTCGCATTTTTCCTGCAAAACAACGAAGGAAACTTGTTAGCTAAGTTCAAGGGCAGACCAGGTGCCCGTTTGCTCGAACAAGTGCAAAATCGAAATTGTGAATTTATCAGAAATGTTCCCGTGCAATGAGTTCGTATCACGATGCAACATTCATACCATGACTAGTTTCGTTGAATATGCGCACGCATGCTTCTTTCCTCTCTTTTTCTGATGTACATTATTGCCTGTCTAAGGAAAGGGATTGTCGTCTCCATAACAACATCCTGTTCTCTTGCAGACATTGTCAGGCAGCTTGTGGCTGTATCCCCAAAGATGACGCAATATGACGTAAGGCACAATTGAACAGATAACTATTAAAAAGAAGTATTTGGATCATTTTAAGACGCCTCATAAATTTTCGAATTTATCCGTTCATATATACCATTTGGCCGACAATTAAAGGAAAGTGTTCCATTTGTCCTAAATGCTTAGTTTCTTTAAACCAATCCATTGGTAATTTATCATTTTGTTTACAGTCAAAAGAAAGTGTCATCTTTGTCTTTAATAAACCTCTTCTTGCCGATGGTGGACCTTACGAGGCCGAGTTCAAAGGTCAACACCACTGCCTCAGAGTACCTGCAGTGTTACTGAACAGCTGTACACTTCAGGCGCATGCACCAGGTAAAGTTCCTTGCTGATGTTCGTGGAGATGATATGATAAGATAAAACTTTTGTTACTTTCGCGACCAAGCCCAGGGAATTGCAAGTAAACTAAGCGATAATTATGGAAAATTTTAATCAAGAAGTCGATTCACTCAGAAAAACATGCAGGGAAATAGAAGAACAGAGAAGAGGAAACCCTGATTTACTGGGGGGAGATATTGGTACAGACAAATGTTCATCGCAACATTACTTTAAATGTCTCATTGGGTTCTATCTAATCAAGCCAAAGATATCAAACCAAAGTTATTAGAACCAAAATCGATCCAGTACTACTTTCAACACTCAACTAAAAATTTTTTGCTTAAGTCTACGGCCATTTTCTCTCAAAATATCAACAAGTTATTGTTATTTTTCAATTCTGTTGCAGTCTATTATCCCCCAGAAACCACGACTGTTAGCATTTACGACAAACTAAAACAGCATGAACCCTCTATCGCTCGTTGCTCTTTTGAGTTTTTCGCTCGAGGTCAACTCCTTCAGGAATTATTAGAAAAAGCAAGTGATCCAGATATGCTACTTTGTGATTCTCTTGGAGTTTCTTCAACTGATCTCAAAACGTTTGACGACGTTATTGCCGGAAAACTGAAGGAGAAAGCTCCTGAAGGATTCAATCTGCTCAAGATGGCGCAAGAAAGAGGTTGGTTTGGTTTTTATAATTGTAACAAGCTGGTTTGTCGAAGCATATTAATCAGATATGTGATGAAATAATTTTCTAGCAACGTGTAAACTTTTCCTCTGTCATCGTCGCTTGTTTCCTTTGCAAAGTTTCCTAGAGAGTTTAAGACCCTATCCATTTTTTCTTATCTCTCCTCAGGTCCTCCTGTGTCAAATACTAGGTTCCCAACTCTACTTCACCTTGGTGCGACTTACGGACTAACATTAACTGTAGCAGCGTGCCTGCACTACTGCCCAGCGGCACACCAGGCATGCTTGCTCAAGAATGTAGACGGCAACACACCCATTGAAATATCTCGAAAACTTGGAAGCCACGAAATAACGAAGTGTCTTCAAGATTTCCAGGTAACCAGTAAAATTTTGGACAAAGAGTTGATAATGAATGATCTAATGGTTATAACATGCATACTTCGATCATCTATAACTGGACAACGTTCTGCTTGCAAATGGTTAGACGTATTTCTGAACATTTTTCCTTTCTTTGGAAGGAGGATTATCAATTTTACCCTTTCTTTCATAAGAAAAGAATTTCTCCTGTTCCCTTCAATAAGGACAGCAAAACTTTTTGCAATAGTACCGGGGATACTTGTTCATGTGACAAAGAGTGCACAGCACGAAAAATCTCGTTTAACTTAACGTATACAGGGCAAAATTGCAGGTAAAAAAATTGAAACCACAAATTTTTATTTTTGATCTTGATTATGAGATATAAATAAAATTGGCAGCCAAGTAAGACCTTCAAGGAGAAACAATTTTTTAAGTTCCTCGTTTGTAATCCAACTCCATTCATATTTCAGGCTAACTGTGCCTATATTCTAACAGAAGATTTCGTCAATTTACACCGTAAGAGTTAGCATGAAAGAGGATTCTCTTGAGTGACCACAGAATCTGTCAATTCTGTTTCGTTTCCTTTCAGTCAAACAAACGTTTCCTTAAAAATAACAATCAGCTCGGAAAAGAGGGAGTTTTTAGTGATAATGACGAAAATGAAGACATTTACATGGAGATGCGTCCAAGCATGGCTCTAGATAAAATTGATGGAGAGCATGACTATGTAAGGATGCCAGAAATTGGAACCAACACAAACCGTGAGTAAACATTAGGAAAAAAGATGACCAACTTTCAATCGAGTATCTAATAAGACGAGGCGGAAAAGAAGAAGGTTTTTAATTCTTGTCACTAGCGAGAGACATAGAAAAATTATGAGTCCTCATAGGCAATCGAACCTCAGACCTTCGGATTCCGCGCTCTAATGCTCTGCCACTGAGCCCCAGAGACTCTATGATAAGTTGGGTCAACTTGAGTATGTTCATACGTTGGTTTTAAATTTTTGCGTTAATTCGTTCTGTGTTTGGTAAAAAAATAAAAACTGGCATAAACCACTAAGTGTAATAGTATAGTTTGATCGTCCGGTTGAGTGTAGTCCTGAGAAACTCTGTTGTCGGTGGTGGTGACTGACGTTTCGACAACCTGAGCGGAAGTCATCATCAGACTCGAGTGACACTTGACTCTGATGATGACTTCCGCTCAACAGGTTGTCGAAACATCAGTCACCACACCGACAACAGAGTTTCTCAGGACTACACTCACCCAGACGATCAAACTACACTTTTACATGTTACCCACGGGTTCAAACCATTGACTGTATAAACCACTAAGATGCAAAACTAAAACAAATCGTGGCATCCTCACACGCCTTCCCTACGCTCCACTAAGAAAGTCGCCATGTTTTTCCTTAGACGTTATGATCACTTCAGTTTTCGTGGTAGGTTAGTCAATATGACGTCATAGTTGACGTCTAGATGATGCCATTGATGCCTTTTGACGACGTCATAATGATTATACGATGTTACGAGTTTAATTTTCCTTCTTTCTTAATGCATGTTTCAAACAGCGATTTTGATGACTCCCGAACTTCAAAGTGCAGTTTCGTTAGCAGAGAACGCAATTAGACTTGGCTGGCTGAAAGGTGATTTCGATGAAGCAACGTTCAACGCGTTCAGACAGATTATTGAAAGAGGTACCGAGGAGGTAATTAATACAAAATTTGTCCTTACTGCTTATTTCCAGCTGTGCCTCTGAATGGAGTTGTCCTTTAGCAATACTTTCAGAGGACTTTCGATAACTATTCCTCTCTGAATTAGTCTTTTTAAATCACCAGATTCCAAAGGATACGAAAGAACTGCGGAAAGATAATGAAGAAATAAAATGTTCAACGTGTCAATGTTTTGCAATTCATGCAATTGCGAAAAGACACCTAAAAAAAAAAACCCTTAGGCCACCAATGGGCAATAATGTTTACAATGGGTCTACTTAAGGATCTCTGAGGTTTTGTTTCGCAAAAAAATTAGTTTTTAGCCTTATGACCCCTTCTCCTTTCTCTCTTTCTCTGCGGAATAACAACTTGAATTACGGCACGTACTTACGGTTATAACTCTTTTTCTTCTTTATAGCCAGTTGACGATCCGACCTACTCACTACCACGTGACCTAGGCCCGGTCTTACCGCCAAGATCCAACCGCCTCAGCAATAAGCGACATTCTATACATGATATACCAAATTCGGCCCCACCGCTACCACCAAGATCTCCTGGCTCAGTTAAATCACCACAATTCCTCTTGGGTATGTAACTGTTTAAAAAAATTCATGTGTTGTTCGGTGGCTGCGTCACCATCTGCCATCTGCATAAATGTTTTCAAAATCGGACGGTATAGTCAACGATATCGATGGAAAAAATTACTGATAAAAAGATTGTCTAATAACAGATGATAAGCATCAAAAACGGACGCAAGTGTCCAAAGCAGACGGTTTCGTCGAAAAACAGAAACTAGGCGAGTGTCCAAAGTCAGACCGTATCGTTCCAAAAACGAATAAAGGTGTCCAAAATCAGACGTTACCGCCCGAAAATGGACTTCATTGTATCGTCCAAAAAAAGTACGGTCACGTCAAAAAACGAACAAAGGTGTCCAAAATCAGACGGTACCGTCCGAAAACGGACTCAAGTGTATTAAATCAGGCAATACCGTACAAAATCGGACGCTAAAGTCCAAAATCAGCGAATACCGACTGCAAACAAACACAAGGGTCCAATACCGATAGAAACCGTCCGAAAAGGAACGCAAGCTTTTGAAATCACACAGTAACATCTAAAAAAGAACACGAATGGCCGAAATGGGACGGCACCGTTCGAGAACAGATGCAAGGGTTAGAAATTGGATAGTACTGTACGAAAACAACTATTTCTTTCCCACTAACATTGCAGGTCACCAAACTGAAAGACGTGGATCCGATCCAAGCGTAAGTTCTCTCAAAATGTTTTGTCTCGATTAGCTTATGTATGAAAACTTACAAACTCTCATTACGTTCAAATTTAGCGAACGTTTAAAACTTCGGCTACTAGTGCTTCAACAGTTAAACTAACTTTGCATTACGTCGGTACTGTTGATAGAATTATTTATTGTCGTATGTAACTATGGTAAAGCTACAATCACTAGCTGTACTTAGGAAGGTTTCATCTTCGTTTTCTTTTTTTTCAAGATTTTTCACAGAATGCAGCCCAATTTTGCGGAGTAAGTATATGATTGTGATATTTCAAAATATCTTCCTGTTTTAAAGCTGCTAAAGGGATGAAACATAGGGTGCGAATTGTAAGGTTCAGATAACCATGCAATTATATCTGCCTTATTTATTCAGCAAACTGACAATTTGTGAAGAAAATGGCACAATACATCAACCAAGGAATGATTCACCTCCGAAGTTACCAGCTAAGACAAGGAGTCCTCTTTCTGCCATCCAAGGTAAATTTCTGAACACGTGGTTAACTAGAGCCTATATGATTGCTGTAGAATGAAGAGTTACAATGATTCCTTCTCACTTCCAAGTGGATGCTAGTCCATTGCAAGTTGCCCTTCTTCTTTGTCATCTACAAGTAAACAGTTGTCACCTGGACTTCCGGGTGTTGAGGCATTCTGACGAAAGTGTACTGCCTAAAGATTTAAAACATTGATCCAGCATGGGCCCTGACTACTAAAATAATTAAAAATAACAAGTGACTAGTTTGTAAATCTGACAGATCTCTGATGTGCTTTTGTATTTTTTTCACCTGACCGTGCAAAGCGTTCAATAACACTCCAACTAAAAAGTTCACATGATTTCATTCCGTCACAAAGTGAGAAAGCAAAAACAAAAGATTTTGCACACACATGAATTGAAGAACCATTTTTCCTAGTTTTCCAGACGAGTCATTACTACTGATTATGCATAAACCCATCCACGTGTGAATTAAATCTCAGTGCTTATCGCATACAGGGGCACAGCACCATCTCCCTGGTGGATTCCTCAGTCCAAAGTCTTCTTCCAATGATGCCACTTCGATGGGTCTTTCGCCCAGGCTTCCGCCGCGCAATCCGAAACTAAGATCCAAGACACGTTCTGCCAGTTGTGAAGCCGACTTAACAGTGCAGAATCTAGCAAGGAATCGTAAGTGTACAAAAAGGCAACCCTTCGTTCGTTCCCATCATGGTCGCACTTTTTAAGCCCTACCCCCACCCTCCCTCACTTGCAAGGTGACTTAAACGTCTCCATTCCCCCCTCCCCCCGAATAAGATTCTTGCTATGACCTGTAATGATCTTACAATCTAAGGGATACAGTTAGGCCGAATTTTGCCGTGGAAAAGTCTACCACACCACCAAGTTAGCATACTAAGGACTGTGTACTTTAGAATCTAATTTCTACACCGTCTCCATACGAGGCTGTCTAGCATCACAGCCAAATTTACCCCGCTTTCCGGCAAGCTGAATAAACTTGAAGTATTAATTGCCACTCCTCTTAGAGGGTATGTTTGTCCATGACAAGCAATCCCTTGACATTTCATCAAGCTTCCCTAAGTTATTGCTGCCACCGACATTTACTCTTTGGGAGGGTGAGACACTGATTGTTAAGTTTCTCTTTCTTAAGACTATAATACAACGGAGTCTCGGATTCCGCTACGCTAATCATGAAAACAGCCACGTCTCCTAACCCTCAGTGATAACCAATTGAGAAGATTAACGCACTCTACGGAACATGCGATAAAATGCGTTAAGATTATATTTTTTTTCCAGGGACTTTCAGCGTGCCCAGATAAACAGACAGATTCACAATAAACAGTCCCAGCTCGCATCAACAACCGGCTAAAAGGAAACGAGCCTGGAAAGTTGTCGTTGGACTCTAAACCTTTTAACATTTCACCTTTTTCTAAACTTGACGTATTACATTGTTTAATTTCCCTCAGGGATCCGATTACAATGAATAGTAATGTAGCTAGGTTTTTAGATTAGGCTGTCAAGCTCTGTGTCTGTTTGTTTTTGGTTTTTTCGGTTGGGTCCTCTTTCGCATTTCTAGAACCCAGCCTTACACATGAGCAAATGCATTAGTATTACGTTTTTTTCCAAGTGGAGCCTGTACCCGTGAAAACACCTTCACCACATATATTGCAACATGACCCGGCATAATTTTGGAGTTTCTTGGACTTGTCATTGATGAATAGCAATTTACTTTTGGTGTTATTATATCCATTTTGAATCAGTTGTGATCCTTGTAATCTGATTGGCTTTCACTGGTGCGATTTATTCACAAATTGCACCATTTTATGCCCTAGATCGCAGCTTTTCTAAAACACAACAACCACTCAAATTTGAGCTGAGGCTTGATTATAGAAATCAGTCAAATTTCAGGACAATGAGAGACAACTTTTGCAACTCTCTACAAACCGTTTTAATATACTGAATCAATGAAATATTTTTACAAACCAAAATGGCGAAACTTGTTTTGGGGATTGAATTTGCGATCTCAAAAAAATGCAATAAAGTGGTGATAGAACTTCTTGTCATGCAATTTTGGTCTAAAATCATACTTGTGATCGCAAATCACGCGTATGATCCCAGACCAAATTGCTCTCCACTCAGTTCAATTACCATTATTTACCAACTTGATAATAATAATGATGATGTACATTGGCCACTGTAGAACTTTAAAAACTACTTATGTACTCTGTCGATAAAACTAAATGGTGTACTATTCCCCCCACCGACACAGCACCACATTTTCGTTATAAACCTATGCTCTTAATACAAATACATTTTAGTTCGTTTTTCGCCAAAACTATGACTGTTAAATTATCTTTTTGCTACATCTTTTGATATTACCACGATGTATAGTTAGGCAGCTGTCTATTGTCTAGTTAACAGCCAGTTTGAAAGCTTTACATCGAAAAATGAAATTAAACAGCAAAATAGTTTTAAGGTAAATAACTCGTGCACATTCAGTCAGTATTACTATAACACATTTTGTCTTTATACTTGTTTACTCCAGTATGTTCACCCACAATTTGAGGTGGAGATGAACCAAAGCCTATAAATTTGAAGTTCATTTCAGTATTCTCTCAAAATAGCGCATAAATTCTAATAAAATTTTCATCAAGATTGATAGTTTTCCTTTAGTTTGACTATGACCTCATCCACCACAACTGGCCACACAGAAGACGGTAAAAACAATTCAAGTCCCAAGCTAAACAGCTTCATAAATGTCATCTGATTGGTCATCTGTCGGAAAAGAAATAACGTACCTAATAAGAATGACAAAA